ATGTTAACATTGATAATGCAGTTATTAATAATATAAAGTTCTTTCACATAAGCGGTCATTGCATGGTATGCATACATTAATTTTGCACGCTCATTGTTGTTGCATGTATTTAGTTATTTCGTTCTTACTAATTTTCATAAAAGTTAGTATTAAATTTTTTTAGAAATGAACTTCATGGCATCTGCTGCTTCGCTGGTCAGTCTACCACACGCAGGATCTTCGTCGCAGTTCAGTCGTACATCAGGTATTATGTTGGCTCCTGGAAACACTTCAGAAATTTTGACTCCTGTTAACTTTGTCTCAGGAATCTCGTATAAATCGACATTACAAGCGAAACCAGCAAGTCGCTTAAATCCGATATCGCAACATTTTGAAAGTCTGAGTCCCAGTGCCAGTAGCGTTAGTAATAGCGACAACAGTAGTAGTGTCCTTTAACACGAAAGTAAGAGTAACAGATAGGCTTCTTTCATCACTTTTTCGTAGTGGTGCTTCTGCCTGATGCTTCGAGAATTACTGTCATAGGATTTGTTCGGTATTCAGTGGATTAACGACATCTGGTAACTCGATGAAAAATCTTTGATGCTTTAAGCTCTATTACGAATGATTGGAAAGCATTTATGTAGGATAAGTGTGAAGAAACTCATACGTTTTGATTACTGTTCACTTAGCGGTGGGCTTGCAAACCAGCCTGGTTATTCAACCTCAAATTTGGCTTTTTACAAGTTTATATTACTTATGTTCTTTGGCGTAACAGTTGCTGCCAATAGTTTGATCCAGTTCACTCTGAATTTATCGCGTACGGGTTTCACATTTATTCAGAGGTTTTTTTTTTTTGGAAAAACGGCTGTATACAACGAATTTTATAGTTGGAAGGATTTATTTGCGAGTTTTCAAAACTTATGCTTTCTAGTTAATGCTTTCGCTAATGGATTTCCTCTTATGCAGTTATTTGTTTGTCTAGTTTCCTACACGCTATGGCATTTTTGAGTTTTTTCTATTAAACTCAATTCTGTAGTGGTACTTATTAAGCTTGCTTTTATCAGTTTGTCATGCTGTCGTATGCTGCAGTTGGTGCTTTCCACTTTAAGAGTGAGCAGGGATTATCGAGCTGTTTCTGGTCTTCAACCGCCTAGTCTTCTTTGACTGGTTTTTCAGTTGCTGTGGCTTTTTGAAGCCGTCTGCATTTAAGTAATTGCGTTTTTTTTTTTGTGCATGTTTCATTGTCTTTTAGTCTTGTGGTGCGTACTTTTTTTAGCTTTGACTTCTCTTAAGTTTCTTTTATTTTTCCAGTATGAAGTAATGTTTTTGATGAATTGTAAAATAGTACTAGTGGTCAAGAGCCAGGAAGTGGTAAAAGATTATTATCACTTTTGTTGGTTTGGTTCAAAAGTTTGTAGTTAATAGGAATGACTGTACTAGATGCCTAACTTTTTTAGGCGTCTTTTCTTTAATTTTTTTTTATTTTTTAAGGCTTGAGCTTTTGATTAAGCTTTACTCTTTTTGAGCTTTATTGATCAGTTTCGTTCCTCGTTTCATAAGTGCTCCACTGCTCTGAAAGAATATGATGCTAAATAACTCATTTGGGTGGAAAGGAGAAATAGTTTATCGGTAGTTGCAGCTTGTTTCCAGTGTGTGTTTCTGCTAACGTTGAAGTATGGGACATAAATCTATTCTAACTTTTTAGAATTGACATGCTCAATGCTACGGGCTTGAGTTTAGTATCTTACTTATAAATATCCTGATTTTTTTAAGTGTTTCAGTTTGTTTAGAAGATATCGTTTAGTTTAGTATAAAATTTATTTCTTGAGGCGATGTCTTCAATGCTTATCTCATTTGTTAAGGTCTTTAAAGCAGTATACCTGGTGCTGTGAGTTATTTGTAAATTTGTTTACCAAATCTAATTGTTTAAAATACTTTCATACTTTGATGAAACAGCCTTTTGCGATCTTTTGACATCTTATCAGGAATATGAATTTAATTTTTTTGCTTATATTATTTCGCGCTTTACCTTATCCCAGGAATCAAAATGTTACTTTTTGTTTGTCAGGAAGACAGGATTTTTGTTTCTTATTTGTGAATGCATGCAGTGATGGATTTGTAATTTTTTGTTTCCTTTGTTTTGTACGATTAAATTCTTTTTATTTTCATTTTATCTTCTGTTTGTTCCTCTCTCCCATGTTGCACGCTTATTGCACCACATTCTGTACATTTCTCCCGGTGTATTGTTTGCTGTTTACATGAGTTAGCTTCAAAATAAAATTGCGTTATCGTATTCGTTTTTTGTGTTAAAGCTGTTTGTTTGCAGATATATTCCTATTTTTACTCTTTTAGCAGATTTGTTCTTAAAAAGATTTGTAGGTTACCGAGGAACATTTTTTACAGATTTTCATTTGTTTACTTGATTTTTCTTTTTTTTTTTATTTTTTTTTGCATGTGCTTTTTCTTAAGCATGACTCCACTTTATGCTAGTTTTTTGCCCTCTCTAGAGCATTTTAAGTAGCATAAGGTATTAATGAAAGATATATTAGTTTCCTGATTTTAGAATTTTAATAAATTAGTTTGAAAGTAGAAGTAACAGGAGTACTTGTCTTTAATTAACTTGATACTTTATTGTTATATTTTTTACGTGGTATTCGCGTAACGGGGCTGATTTACATATTGTTCAACCAGGGAACATCCGAGTTCTAGCAGCAAATGACGTAGAGTTACTAGTTTCGGTTGCTTTTATTTGATGCGTTTTTTTGTACGTATGGTTATGTCGGTTTTTTCCTTCAGCAGCAGTCGCTCCTTCCATATGCTCCACAAATTCGGCAGACAGCGTATCTCTAACACCATCCAATGGTTCAATGCTGTCATCAGATATCGCGTTGAGGCCTAATAAATTTATTACAAGAACAGTGGCAAGGCATCGTACTGATGCATCCGGTTTACGGCAAACTAGTTACCATACATTTTCATCGTCTTCCGAAGACTTGCGTCTGCGGTCATTAGTCAGTTTACAGCGTCAGCACGTACAGACATCATCGGGAAGTCCACTTGAGCCTGGTTGCTTAACGTTCCATGCTTCTCACAGATCAACGGTTGACGGAGCAGAAATAATGTATGGTTTTCGTATCGTTCTTGCTTGAAATTATTTTCTTTATGGAACTAATGTTTTTAAGAAGGCAGGGTTGTTTATTCCTATTTTTTCAATGTAGTTTGGGACGGACATAGCGCATTTCTTCATGGTAGTCTGCAAATAATTAGGGTGAGACAGAGTACAAAGGTTTTAACTCTTCCTTTGGTTCTTTTATACTATTTTTATGCTATGCCTCTACGTCTTATATAATTCAAAAACTGTTGTTTCTCATGCTGCTAAATTCAACGAGATTTTTTTACACTTTCTATTCTAGGGAAAATGAAGACATAAAAAGCCACCAGTCAAACTCTTCAGTGTATTCGACGTCGTCAAACGAAGATGAAAAAGACGACGGAGTAAATGAAGGTAAAAGTGGTGCACATACTGCCCCGAAGAAAATGAGATTTCATTTATTTCACCGAACAAAACATTCACCATAGTAGTCATCATCTGTTTATTTCCTTAATGTGCTTACTTTTATAATTTGTGATTGGCATATCAGATTTTGCTTTTCCCCACTTCAGTAATTTTCTTCTGCAAGTGTTTGGATCCAAACAGTTGCTGGTTTTTTTCCTTCTGTCGGGAAGGGTGTCTTATAGTCAAATTTTTCTTTTTGTTTATTGTGGAATTGATTTTTTAGTGTTGTTTATTTTTGTATCTTAAAATGCAATATTTGGCGACAAGTCGCGATCTCTTGCTGGTTGTCTTCATATATATATATTTTTTCATTTTCATTAATTAATAAAACTTTCCTGTCTTTACATGATCTTCATCAAAA